TCAAGGCTTCCTCCACCTGAGGTGCAAGGGAAAGCGGAAGTTTTAGCGAACCCTATCCTTCCGAGGGTCAGCAGTAAAAATTGAAGGTCAGAACACACCCCAGGATGGGCTGTCGAGTAGCTCCTGTTTGGGACTTCAAAACAACTACTGGGCAGGACTGCCACTGCGTACCAAGGGGTCTCTAGGGAGACACACATACTCGTGCTGCCTGGCTGGGTAAGCAAGAACAAGACCCCTGCCACTGAAGGCAGGTATTACCTAGGCTGCCTCTGCCGGGATGATGGTGGCAGGGGACATGGCCTGTGCATTAAGGAAAGCCAGTTTCCCCCAGACAGGAGACCTCAAGATTAGAGAGAGGCTTCCTACTTTCTGATCATAGCTCAGAGCCCTCTAAATGCCAGGTCCTTGCAGCATAGCAGTGCCCAGTCTCACTTCCCCTTCCCCAAGGCTAGTTCTTAACCAACTTCCTTTGAGCCATGTTCTTCCAGAACAAGCAGGCCTGGGCCTCCCTGAGCTCTGCAGCCCGAGTGCCTGAATCATTTAGAGCAGGGGGCACGAGGCTAGCAAATGGCTCCCTGGAGGGCTGGCTGGCAACATAAGCGTACTCCTCCATGACTCAGCTTCCTGAACTGGGTCCTGCGAGGGTGCAAAGGATGAACGCACTGCTTTAAAATGGGGTCTCATACAGGGCAGGGTGATGTTTAAATAAACTGCTACACAGCTGAGGAAGACCTCTGTGTTCTAATCCTGCCTCTTCCTCCTAAGAGCTGGGATTCCTGGCTGGTGTGACATGCGCCACCACACCCAGCTAGTGCCGGTGGTTCAGATGCAGCTGGATCTTAGCAGTCTCAGCTTAGCTGAGGGGAGAGCACGGTAGAGAAAAGGACGGAAAAGCCGTCACGGCCCTTTCCCAATTCCTTCCAGAGGTTCCTGGCTGGCCCCCTGGACCACTGCTCTCCTTTACTCAGCTCTCACCCTTGTGATTTTGACCTCTGAACCGTTCAACACAAGCTACTTCCACCAGTTTCTGAGAGTGCCTCTCTGGAATCCTACCCGAAACAGGAGACGGGAAGAAACAAGCAGTAACTATTACATGGCAACTCTCAGGAAACCTTAGGGAAAGCCCACGGTGGTTTCTTTTCAGTTCTGCTTGGTCAGAGGGACTGGTGATGACCCTTGTCTATTTAGCTGATAACCAAATACAGTAGTTAGCAAAAAACCTCAAGGAGCAAAATGGTTCACAACTCCCAATGTCAGGAATGTAACCAGTATTTAACTTTAGAAAAACAGCTTCAAGTCGGGCGTTGGTGGCACACACCTTTAAACCCAGCACTCGGGAGGCAGTGGCAGGTGGATCTCTGTGAGTTCGAGGCCAACCTGGTCTACAGAGCAAGTTCCAGGACAGCCTTCAAAGCAATACAGAGAAACCCTGACTTGAAAAAAGAAAAGAAAAAAACCCAAAAATAACCACCACCACCAACAAAAAAAACCAGCTTCATTAACAACCCCCCCCCCCCAGCAAGGTCTTGCTGCCTCTCCCAAGCTGGCTTTGAACTAACCATCTTCATCTTCCTGCTTTTTGCTTTGTGACTTATGATTAGACTCTTCCAGAGCCAGGGTCCCAGGGAATTCTGATTTAATTCTATAAATTTTGAAACACGTCTCATTATGCGCACAAGGCTGGCCTAGAATTCAGAGTTCCTTCTGCCTCTGCCTTCCGAGTGCTGGGATTAAATAATTCTATACAATCTGTGACCATTCTTACCGTCTTCCCCTTTACCCACTCCGTGGCTAGGGAGCTGGAGGCGATGGCAGAGCCGCAGCCAAATGTTTTAAATCTGGCATCCACAATCTTCCCCTTCTCATCCACCTGGATCTAGAAAAGAACCAGGAGCTTAGAGGCGATTCCTGAGCCTGACATCTAGAATGCAAGCACCTGGAACTTTCGGCCCTGCTTTGCTGCTCATGCCAGATGGCACAGCACTGATTACTAGGTTTTGTTTGAAAGAGCTCAGCCACTGACAGTGAAACTGGGGGTCCACACAGGTTCAGCTGGTAGAGAGAGAGAAGCAGGGGAATGATGCCCCTCACCCCACTTTGGTTGTTTTCAACCCTAGCCTGCTTTATTTGAATTCCTATTGCGGAGGTCTGCTGACAGATGCTGCCACTATCAGCCTCCTTAGGCACCGGGAGAGCCTGCAATCAAGGTCCCATTAATGTCTTGGACACCAACTATAATTAGTGGCTCCTTCCTACTGCTTACTCGGGTGACACACATTACCTCCCGCCCCTTCCTCTTCCTCTTCCTGGAGAGGTTTGGTTAGCACATTCCTTTCCTCACTGGTGAGTGCTAGCTCCTGTGGGTTCTTCAATTGGCCAGTAACGTTCACAAAGCCTTTCACTCACTGAAAAGCGGGGTCTACACTGACGCAGTGAAGAGGAAAATGAAGTCATCTGTTCTAGAACAAGACAAGTCTCTACCCTCACCATCCGGGACAGCCACTCATCCCGTCTCACAGGAACTGACAGACAAGGCGATATGCTCTGTGAGCAGATGGCGATCCTTTCCATGCAGCCAGTACCTGCAATTTCATGACGTCACCACATGCTGGCGCACCCACCAATCCGGTCCCGACGTTTTTGGATGTTTTGTCAAGGGACCCCACATTCCTAGGGTTCTCATAATGATCTACAACCTGAAACGACAGGTTAACAGACTTCACCATGGCTTCACCACCTCCCTGGAGCCAGCAATCCCAAGGGGACAGAGGTGGGAGGGCAGAGTGTGACGCAGACTCTTTCCATCTCCTTCCTGACGACCTTCATCTTGGAGATTCTGTCTGAGATGTTGGCAAGAAACTCAGGTCACATCTTAGTTTCATAGGGATTTCAACCACAACTTAATCGTGTGATTTACACAACGCCACCAGATTTGGGCTCAAACACCACTTGCGTTTTTTTTACCAAATAAAATACATTGTCGTAAGAGAATACGCATTTCAAAACGCCAAAAGTACAAAGGGCCTCAAATGGAAGTTTCAAGGTGACTGTTTCAGATGAGCCAAGGTCGTGGACTGTTTGTTGTTGTAAACATAAACACAGCGCCACCCTGGTGCAGGAGCGCCCCCTGGTGCCGTAAGGTTTCCAGCCCGCCCTAATTCCTGTGGCTACTGTCAACAAAATACCGTCCCCTTTGAGGGTTGGAGGCCTTGGCAAAAGCATGCAAGCAAGAACAAACAGCCACTACAGTCGGAGGAGACATGTTAAGGTTTAATAACCTCGATTTTTTTTTTTTTTGGCTACTTAGCAGGAGGCACCCTCAGTTGCAGATTCTGAGTCTGAGCCCAAAGGCCCAGCAACGCACATCTAATCGAATATCTAATCTGAAGTCTTGTCCGGCTGTGGCAGCCTTTGTTTTTCCGAGTGTCTTATGTCAAGGGGCCATCCTTAGAAGATAGGGGGTCACAAACTACCTACCCTTCTATACTTTGTGCTCCCTGAAAATACACAAACAAATAACCGAGAGACAAAAGTTTTACGTTGGTTAAGAGCTTGGTTCGCCTGGGGCCCATCAGCTCCCCAAATAACAACATGGCCGTAAGCGGTTTCCATTTTTTGGGCCCCACACAGGGGGGCTGCCGAGGACCCCTTGCGGATCTGGGGGGACGGGTTAGGCGAGGGCAGTGGCCTGGTGAGGATGCTGGTGCTGGACAGCGAGCTCAGACTCAAAAACGCGTGTGTGCGGTCCCCTGACCCCCGGCATGACATACCGGGACCCTCCCTTCTGGGCTGTCAGAGTCGGAACACTGCAAGTGGCGGCCGCGGCGGGGCTGCGGTTGCCGCGGGATCCTCGGTGGTGCTCATCCGGGCAACGGCTGCAGGTCGGGTCACTGCGCAGCGGGGTAGGCGAGCCGGGGAAGAGCTGCGGAGCGGACCGCCTCTCCCAGGGGCACCCGGTTGGCGCCGCTCGCCCGTCCCCTCGGTGGTTCGCGCACCCTCTCGCCCGCCCATACCTTTTTGTGATAGAGCCGGGCTGGGGCCGACAACTCCCGGGCGGGCAGGCGCGGGCTCCGGAGCAGCAGCGCGGAAGCCGCCCTCCTCAGACGGCCCGCTCCGACCGCCGCCATGTTGCCGGCTTGCACCTGCGTCGATCTCGGCGACGGCAAAGCAAGGGCGCGCTCTCCTGACGTCACCAGCGTCGCGCCCCGCCCCCGGAAGGGGCGTGGCGGGCGCGAAGCGGGAAGGTCTGAAGCGGGGCTACGCTGGGTGTTGGGGCTTGTTCGGGCGGTTGCAGGGGCGCAGGCGCTCAGGCTCGGGAGGGCTTGGGGTTCGAACTTGCTCGAATCCCTGTTACACTCTGTGTTCTGGCTACATGGCTCAGGGAGCGGGCTCTCTTTCCTAATTCAAGCACAGCCCTTTCATCTGGAGCAAATGCATATTGAGTGCACGCTAGGCGTCCCTACAGAACCTTGGAGGTCCCCGCGAAAGCAAAACGGACGATTCCTGCCTCGCTAACCTTGCTAGTGAAGGAGAAAGGCCGTCCGCATAGAAAAACACCAACGCTTTTCTACCCCAAGAACGAGAAGTGCAAGAAGGAAACACCGTGCCTCGACCTCCCCGTGTATAAAACATTCCGTTTTATGACAAGGCACGGCATCCCTAGCCAGTACTTACTGCAGATTACAGATAATATTGGCTATGAACCTATGAAGCCACAAAATTCACGGGGTTAACACCTAGGAGGACGCTTTATTCTTCGGGAGGTAGAATTTTCTCGTGAATGGTGCATCCGATCGCCGAGGAACCCGAGCCTTTTCTGCACCGGAGGCTCGGTTGCTGGGAAACAAGCACGCACTAGAGCAGGGCTGAGCGTTACAGGAGGCGTTCAGTCCCAAGGATGACTTTGACCTTCTCAAGATGGCGTCCCGACCTTAACTACAGACAGCACGCTCACACGACTTCCGCTATGGTCGCCACTTCCGGTTCAAAGACCCAACAGCTGTCCAAAGTAGTAACGGAACACACGTTATGCTCATGAGCGTTTTCTCCGGACAGTGCCGTCTTTAGAAATACGAAGATATATCCGCGGTGGTTATTTTACGGGTTTCCTGCCTCCCCAGGCCCACAGTGCATCTTCTGGTGCTGACGAGGCGGAGTTCTGATCAGGCGGACGCCGCGGACAGCCCGACGTTCGCCGGGCTTCGGCGGGCGAGGGAAGACCCGAGAGTCGCAGGCTGCGCAAGATGGCGACTGCGGCCGCATCCTCTGCGTCCGAGCCGGAGGTAGAGCCCCAGGCCGGGCCTGAGGCCGAGGGAGAGGAGGATGAGGCGAAGGCGGCCAGCGTGGACAGGAAGGTGCTGTCCCGCGCCGTGGCCGCCGACGCGGCCAAGGGGCCAGGGTGGGACCTGCAGCGGGAAGGCGTGAGCGAGAGCGACGGAGATGAGGAGGACGCCATGGCTTCCTCCGCCGAGAGCTCCCCCGGGGAGGACGAGTGGGAGGACGACGAGGAGGAGGAGAAAAACCAGCTGGAGATCGAGCGGCTGGAGGAGCAGGTGGGCCGCGGGCTCCTCCCCTCGGGTACCCTCGGAGGTCGCCACCCCCCGTGTCCCCCCGCGTTCCGGCTCTGCCTGCCCCGTGGTTTGCTCACGTATTTCATTGAGTGAATTCTTCCCACGGTCCGGCTCACTGTGGGAAACCGAGGCTCACGGAGTGGCTCTTGGAAATGTTTCCTGTGTTTAAGCCGAACCCAGGACTGTCTACTCTTTTTATGCTTTAGTTTTGTGTTTGTATGCATGCACGTACAAGGTTGTCTCTTACCGGGGGGCTCCCAAGATTGAACTCTGGTCATCAGGTTTGGCCGCAAGCGCCTTTATCTTCTGAGCCGTCTTTCCACCATCTCTCCAGTCCAGGACTGCCACACTTAAAAAGCCAAATGGTGTAATTGTCTGACAGTCGGAGGAAAACTTTATTATCCTTTAGGCATTTCTTAGCATTGATGTTTGTTACTTAACACAAAGTTTCTTGCTGTGTGTGTGTGTTTATAAGACAGGGTTTCTTGCTGTGTTGGCTGTCTGGGGACCGACTTTGGTTTTTGTTGTTGTTTTGTTTTTCGAGACAGGGTTTCTGTGTATTGTTTTGGAGGCTGTTCTGGAACTCGCTCTGTAGACCAGGCCGACCTCTTAACTCACAAAGATCCGCCTGCCTCTGCCTCCCGAGTGCTGGGATTAAAGGCGTGTGCCACCAACGCCTGGCTCAGGGACTGACTTTGTAAACCAGGCTGGCTTTGAACTCACAAAGCTCTGCCTGCCTCCCAAGTGCTGGGGTCAAAGGCCTGCACCACCAGTCTTGTCTGATTTTTTTTAACACCCCCCCTTTTTTTTTTTTGAGTTAAGGTCTCTCTCTAAAATAGCCTTGCCTATGCTGGAACTCACAGAGATCCTTCTGCCTCTTTCTCCAGAGTGCTGGTATTAAATGTGTTTGCTGGTATTAAGTGTGTTAGCCACAGCCAGTCTGGAATCTAGGAACATAGCACACATGGACGCATAAGCTTTATTGATGTTGGCCTTAATACCTCAGGAATGTTGCTTGCCCTGTGGTCATGCAGCCTCTCTGCAGATGGTGCCTTGGCACGCTGCAGTTTGGGTTGTGCTGTGCTAGCATACTGAAATGCTAGTTCCAGACTTTCTGATTTAAAATTTGTCAGCTGGCATGTTTCCAAATGTGCAAGTCTTAGTGTGCCGTCTGTTTGCATGGACAAAGATCTCCAGAAGAGTCCATTTGGCAGATCTGGAGCCTAGTCCCCACGCAGTAGCCCCCTTCTCTCTCTCCGAGGCCAGAACACCCTTCGGCTTTTCTTTTGTGAGTTTAACTACTTCAGAAACCTCACATAAAAGGGAAGTCGATTTGTGTGCATTGCAGTCTTGCTAATCTTGCTCATTGTTTCTGAGGGTTTGTAGGTTAATCTTGGTTTACTGCGCAGTCTTGGCATGTGTATTGTTGTCACCTTTTTCCTCCCCTTAGGTCCTTTCTTTTCCTTGGCCTTGTACAGAAAGGACACTGCTGTCTGCAGTTGGGGGGGGTCTAGGAAGAAAGCTGCATGAGCACCCACGTGCAGGATGCAGTGCGGTGTCCTCTTTCTTTCTCTGGGAGAAGGACAAGGGTGCTGGCTGTTCTGAGAAGCTCAGGCATTGCCTGTGTACATCTAGAGGAGGTGGGCGTGGTCAGACACTTTTGTCAACAAACCTTTGATGGTGTCTTTGTCAGCCTTGCTGAGGAAGGACACTGGTTTCATTGTGCATGTCCTTGCTGACTGAAGGTGTTGATCTCACTCAGTATTGTTTGCTGTCCGTTTGTCCTTAGGAAAGTGTTTTGTCTCTTTTCTTTCCCCTTTTTTTTTTTTTTTTTTTTGACATAGGATCTTTTATGTAGACGGGCTGACTTAGAAGTCGCTATGTAGATCAGGCTGTCCTCAAACTCAGAGATTTGCCTGCCTCTGCCTGAGTGCTGGGATTAAAGACACACGCCGCCACATCTGCGCCATTATTTTCTCCTTGAAACAGGGTTCTCAAAGCAGCCAAGGCTGACCATGAGCTCTGTCCTCACATGTCTACTCTTGGTGCTGGGGCTGCACTGAACCTGACTCTAGTGGTGCTGTGTGCAGTGTCTTCACTGAGCTGACCTAGCTGCAGGCTGTGCTGCTTGGGTGTGGCCCGCTCTCCTTCCCATTCCCCCTCGCAACTGCTGTCTTGGGTGAAACGGTCCTAATTGTCTGTTTCTTCCTTACATGACTGAGAACCCCGAGGAGACGCCTCTCTGTGTGCTTACCAGTCAGTGTCTCTGTTCCTGCTCTTTGAGGGCGGCTCTACTAATGCTGTTCTTAAACTCATCCTTTGTGTGGATGTGTAAGAGTTAAAAATATTTCCAGCTTTTACCTTGAAAAGTTTCAAATGTAAAAAAACGAGCCTTTGTATACCCAGACAGAAGGCAGGCAGAGGGCCAGAACCCCATCAGGCATAGCTCCTTGCAGGTCTCCAGTGACAGCAAGGTCTGTGTTCCAGAGTAGGAGGTTGGTGGCTAGGGCTACCCAGAATGCGCCAACCCCTCTCAAAAACCAGTCACATGAGCCTGGAGAGGTGGCTCAGGGGTGAAGAGCACTTAGCGGAGGACCAGAGCTTGGTTCCCAGCACACAAGTCAGGTGGCTCACAACCACCTGTTACTTCAACTGGGGGTGGCCTCTTAGGACAACTGACGTCACTTACCCCCATATATACATAATTAAAGAAAATATTAAAAATAAAAAACAACGAAAGGATTATGAACATGGCAGTGTCGGTTAAGATTCAGCCCAGGCCTGCTGGTGGTGGCATAAACCTTTAATCCCAGCACTCAGGAGGCAGAGGCAGGTGGATCTCTGTGAGTTTAAGGCCAGCCTGGTCTACTTAGTGAGTTCCAGGACAGCCAGAGCTACACAGAGAAATCCTGTCTGAAAAATAAAAAAGACAAAAGACTGAGCCCAGGTGCCAGTGGCTGGAATGTTGTGGTGTGACCTGGTTGTACACTTGTTTTGTAGGTATGGGGTTTGTGTGGCCGGGTTGGTTGCTACAGTCATGTTATGATTCAGTGGTTGAGAGCACTGGCTGCTCCTTCAGAGTCCTGAGTTCAATTCCCAGCACCCATATGGTGGCTCACAACCATCTATAGTGGAATCTGATGCCCTCTTCTGGCATAACCTCATACATGCAGATAGGGAACTAAATAAATCAAATATTAAAAATTCCTCTGGCACACTTGAAATGTAGATATGCCCGTGGGTTCTATGGACTGGAGACTAGCAGTGCCCCACTCTGTAGATGGGGAGCTGAGGCTATGCAAGACTCTGGTGACTTCCTAAGGATGGCACTGTTTGTCTCAGTAAAGGTGTCCCAAGGGGAGGGAGCTTCCTGTTAGGATGGGAACACCTCTCACTTCTTCGTGATGGGGCGGGTGCCGCTTAGCTCACTCAGTGGCCTCCCAGGGTGATACCAGGTCTGTTTGGGCAGATGTGTGTCATTGCCAGAGATGACAGATGCTAGCTTTCCTCTTAGCTGTCCATCAACGGCTATGACTACAACTGCCATGTGGAGCTCATCAGGCTGCTGCGGCTGGAAGGGGAGCTCAACAAAGTGAGGATGGCCCGCCAGAAGATGAGCGAGCTCTTCCCCTTGACTGAAGGTAACGGTGCCTGGGACAGGGTGGGTGGGGACGGAGCTGCTGAGGAGAAGGACGTAAAGGAAGCCGGCTGCTTAGACTGTGCTGCAGAATGTGGTCTGAGCGCATGGATTCACACATGCGTGGAACACTATGAGAAACAGTTTCTTTAACGGAATTTAACTTCACTGTGGTCTCTTTCTCACTCCCCAAGTGTGAAATTAGCCTATACTCATAGTGCCATGGAATTGTAAATTTAGGTAAACATTTATAGTTTTAAATCTCTTCTTAAAAAATCTGTGTGTGTATGAGTGCTTTTGCCTGTATATATGTGTATGTGCACCAGGTGGCCAGAAGAGGGCGCAAGAGACAGTTGTAAGCCGCTGTGTGAGTACTGGGAATCAAACCTGGGTCCTGTGGAAGAGCATCCAGTGCTCTTAACCACTGAGCCATCTCTCTAGCCTCTAAACTGAAATAGTTTTAAATGCAGATGTTTCATTTTGGTATAGTAATTGTACATTTTGCTACTTCCACGCATTTGCTTCTGAGAAACACACTTGTAGTGTTCAGCTCTGTGACAGGGCGTTGCTTCATATTTGCAACAGGCCTTTCAGCTCAGAAACCCTGGCCTTGGTCATGTCTGTCCCATCCCCCTCTCACACCTCTCAGGTGGAGCTGCTGAGAGAGACCTCACTGCACATGCCTAATGAGGCTTGTCCCTGGCAGACAAAGCAGATCGTGACAACAGTGGAGACTCAGTTCCCACAGTCAGCTAAGGGTAGCAGTAGTTCTTGCGTGGTACATGACAGAGTAGGATCCATTCCTGGGGACAGGTGTGTCACATGCCAGCGGACTCTGAGTCATTAGATTCATGGTATCACTCAGTGTCTTACAAGATTGACATAAAGATTGAATGGGAATATTGCAAAGTAGGGAAGGTCTGACTGTGACAGCTTCAGTGGCTCCTGTGTCTGGAAGCTCACAGTCTGTGTGCCTTGCTGGGCTTTTAAGAACTGGATCTCTGGGAACCTGTGGGAGCATGTGAAGGCATGTGCTGAGGTGTGCTGTCATCTCTAGAGCTCTGGCTGGAGTGGCTGCATGATGAGATCAGCATGGCCATGGATGGCCTGGATCGAGAACACGTGTATGAGCTCTTCGAGAGAGCCGTGAAGGACTACATCTGTGAGTACCCGGCCCTGGGGTGCTGGTTCCGCCAAATCTTTATTGCCTTATGCTGCATTGTGAGGTGTTGCCAGGAAGTTGGAATTCGTTTTCTTTGTGATGTCTTAGTGTTCAGTAGAGATTATCTGGGCTTAAGACAAAAATGGAACTATTTGTAGGAAGAGAATAAATGTCTCACTCAGCATCTGTCTGTCAGAGAGGACTTACATGGGATTTCTAGACACTTAAAGTTTAGCGTGTATCTTTTGATTGAAACAAACTCACTCTGTAGCCCAGGCTAGCCTTCAGTTTGTGACCCTCCTGCTTCCACCTCCTGAGTTCTGGGACTAAGGCATGAATGTCTGTCCCTCTGTGTCTGTTTTGTTGCTGCTGCTTTGAGACAAGGTCTCATCATATGGCTCAGGCTGACTCTGCTTCAGCTTCCCAACATGGTGTACAGGTGTGTGTCACCACACCCATGCACATGTCATCATGAGTTCCAAGCCAGACTGGGCTACACGTTGAGTTCAAGGGCAGCTTAGGTTATAGAGTAAGAGCCCCATCTCAAAACCAAAAAAAGTCTGAGATGTTGGCTTTGCACAGCCTCTTTTACCAGTTTTAGACATGTTTTTGAGAAGAACATTAAACACTTTAAAAAAGCTGAATGGGATGTTCTTCTGCAGTCCCAGGACTCAGGAGGTGGAGGCAGGTGGATCAAGGGAGGCTCTCCTGAGGCACATGAGGTTTTGTCTCAAAAACAGACATAAAAACCCCCAAAACAAGAAACAAAACCATGCGAGCAGTTTTTGAGTGCTAGCCGCGCTAAAAGAGGCTGTGACTGTGTGCCCTCATACTTGTGGATCTGCCTCTGTCTCTCATGTGGTGGGTTACAGGTGCCCCCACCACACCCATCAACGTAGGTTCATTGGTTGTTACAGATGTACCACTCTACAGGGGAGGTTGGCAGGAGAGACTCCCATGTGGGAGGGAAGGAGAGAGGTCTCACAGTGAGTTCCAGGACAGGTGGGACCATAGGGGAAGACCCCACTCTCCTCAGGAACTCAAATAAAAATAAAAAGTGGATTTCTAATGGCAGAGTCAATGCTTTTGGTTTTATTCTTTTCTTTTGGCCTGGAGACTTACAAGACTAGGGTTAGTAAGAAAAACTCTAGGGTTTTTTTTTTTTTTTTTTTGGACAAGTGACTCAGATTTATAATTTCAGTCACTGAAATGTTAGTGGGTTCTCTCTCTCTCTCTCTCTCTCTCTCTCTCTCTCTCTCTCTCTCTCTCTCTCTCTCTCTCACACACACACACACACACACACACACACACACACTATCTGTCTGTCTTTTTGCTGGGGATTAAACCCAAGACTTGCATGGCTCCATGCTCTACCCCTTCCGTTTTAACTTAGTTACGTGTTGTCCCTTGGTGTGCTGTCTGTGCAATCAGATCTCTGTACTGTGCTTAGTTGGAATACTCTTGAGATTTCAGCCTTGTAGGAAGCTGGGGTGCTTGTTGGCAGTGATCTTTTTTGCACCAATGAACATGTTTTGGTGGGGCATGTGTTTTGTTTGCACTAGGGGAACACTGGGGCATATTGGGAGCTGAGCTTACAGATCACTTCTCCTTTTTAGGTCCGAACATTTGGCTAGAGTATGGCCAGTACTCTGTTGGTGGCATTGGTCAGAAAGGTGGCCTGGAGAAGGTCCGCTCTGTGTTTGAAAGAGCGCTGTCATCTGTTGGCTTACACGTGACGAAAGGCCTGGCCATCTGGGAGGCTTACCGAGAGTTTGAAAGTGCCATCGTGGAAGCTGCTCGGGTGAGTGCCCAGGTCTCTGGCCCAGGCCTGCAGGAAGTATTATTTTGAAACAAACATCCAACAGTCTAACAGTTAACCCATCTGCCTTTGCCTGTCTGTTAGGGATGCACAGTAACAAAGTCAGCTATTTCTGGCAGAGTGAGGGATTTCTTCGACTTGGACACAGTTGACTATTTCTTTCCTGACACATTAAAGTACTATTGCTTTAGTTATGTGACTGTAGGTCAGTGTACAAGAACAGCCCTGTATGCATGTTTATGTGTCTGTTAAGGTGTATGTGTATTGTGTGTGTATCTTTGTATCTCGATCAGTGTGACTGAGGGGAGGTTTCAGACAGATGCGTAGATAGCTGTCCTCTCTGTGTGACCCTCTGTGTAACAATTGGAGCTCTAATCTGGAAATCAGAAATCCAGAATGCCTTACCTTCCAAACTTTTTGAGCACTGACTGACTCCGACTGGGAAATTTGGCTTTTCTCTGTGACTTTGGAGGCTGTCCTGGAACTAGTTCTTGTTGACTGGGCTGGTCTCAAACTCACAGAGATCCGCATCCCTGCTTAGACTGGGCTTCTGCATGTCGAGGCTGGGCATCTTATTTTGTTTATGCAGAATTCTAAAATCTGGAAGAGTGTGATAAGTGAAGCTTTCTGGACCCAGTCAAGCTGTGTGAGTAGAGTGGCCTCAGTAGCTTCCTAGTCAGTCCTCATCCTCAGTCTGCAGAGGTCAGTGACAGTGAGCACGGAGTGAAGCCGGAGCCTGTGCTCTGCAGCGTCTGTTCCTTCTGTTCTGACACAGGCCCAGGCTGCTCTCCAACACAGCTCCTCTGCCTGCCCACCACACTGCTTCCCCTGGAGTCACTGAGCCTGCCCCTGCCATGTGCTGCTGTCCAGATCCCATCCCGGCCTTCCCTTCGTGGCAGCAGCAGGTCCCCACGGCTGTGACCGTTAAGTGGTTTTTTTTGTTTTTTGTTTTTTTTTTTTGTGATACTTGGGCTCTGTACCTTTGTAGTCACTTGGATTTGTTTGCTTCTTCTTTTGTTTTTTGAGATAGGGTTTCTCTGTGTAGCTTTGTAGACCAGGTTGGCCTCAAACTCACAGAGATCTGCCTCCCTCTGCCTCCCAAATGCTGGGATTAAAGGCGTGCACCGCCGCCGCCACCACCACCTGGCTTGAATTTCTTTCTTTTTAAAAGGATTTTTAAGTTTTTGTTGCATTTTTATTGTGGTTTATGTGTGGCATATGTATGCCTCAGCTGCATGTGGCAATCAGAAGACAACCCGTGGGAGTTGGTTTTCTTTTTCTACCTTGTTGACTTAGGGATTGAATTCAGGTTTTCAGACTTGGTGGCAAGTACCCTTTGCCTGCTGAGCCATCTCAGTGGCCCTGGGTTCCTTTTATTCCTTTTTCTCTTCTTACCGTAAGCCCTTAGAGACAATAATATGGGTGATACCTCCTGTGTAAGGCATCACAGACTTTTTTTGGGATTTTTTTGTGAAGTAGAAGGAACCAACACTTGTCCTTTACTGCTGATTTGCTTCTTTAGCCCATAGCTGCCTTCCTTTCCCCTTCTGACCGGGAACAAACCTTTGATTCACAGCTGGAGAAAGTTCACAGCCTCTTCCGTCGACAGCTGGCGATCCCATTGTACGGTAAGAGAAGCAGGCTCATCAGTAGCCAGCCCTCTGCTTTGCTAGTGACATTGTCCATGTCCTTCCTGCAAGGGCAGGCAGGACTGCTGCTCTCCTGACTAGAAGAGTCTGTTAGGAGTTGTCAGTGCTAAGCCTTAGAAGGGCCAAAGGCACGGAAAGACCGACCCTATTTCCTGGAACTCAGCTGCCCCGTCTTACTGGAAAGAGGGGGACACGGACACAGCCCCTTATTTCCTGGTCACTTTTTCCAAGAGTCCCATTGCTGGTCTGTCTGCATGTCAGGGGCTTTGTGTCACATCTGCAGTATTTCTGCTGAGGAGTTGATTATAGGCATTCATGTTTCAGTTCTGGGGCTTTGCTTAAAGTTTCTACGGGTGAACCCATTTTGACAAGGCTTCAGCAGTGGATATGGGTCGTGCCAGGGAAGCTTTTCCTGTGTGTGTGGTTGGCACTGCCCTGTCTGGCAGCAGGTCTTGTTCAGAACCTTGGGGTGACTGCTTGAGCCTCTTGACCATCCACTTGGCGGCTCCTTGGCTGCAGTTCTCAGCCAGGCTGCTCTGCTGTCAGCTCTCTGCCTGCACTGTGAGGATCACAGATGAGGGAGCACACTGTGGGGGGTGGGCGGGAATGCAGAACTCTGCTGTGCACGCTCAGTACCTGATCGTGGTCTCATGAACCGAGGGGCTGGTAGGGTTGTCTGACATGTTGTTTTGTGATGGCCACAGAACTGGGAATCTGTCGTGGCCACAGATGTGGGATGGGTGGTGGCTTTTTTATGTTGATAAACTCAGTGGCACAGCCCATGGACTGATCCCATCACCCCGTAGATATGGAGGCCACCTTGGCAGAGTATGAAGAATGGTCAGAAGATCCCATCCCAGAGTCGGTACTTCAGAGCTATCAGAAAGCCCTGGAGCAGCTGGAGAAATACAAGCCCTACGAGGAGGCCCTGGTGAGTGCTCTCCCCCTCGGGGACTCTTCACGCAAGTTCTCCCTTATCCATAGTGCTGCAAGGTAAACAGTCTCTGTACTGTTAGTCTCTGTGCAGTGTGTAGAGAATGTAAGTGTGCATTCATGTTAAGAGATAGAGCCTTGCAGTGCCCTTCTCCAGTTGCCTCTTCCTCCCTGTCCCTTTTATGGTAATTTCTCCCCTTTTGATAGCTGCACTCCTGTGAATGTAACTGTAGTATATTGATTGTGCTTGTTGAACTTGGCATGGCGATTTAGGCTGTGTTTCTTTTCCCTAGTGTGTGTGGGTTTAGCTTACGTCATAAATGATTCAACGCATGGGTGCCCTGTGGTGGTGTATGTGTAGCGGTTTGCCCACAGTGGTGCAGCGCTGTCTGTACACACGGAGGAGTTTCTCTAGCATGTGTGTGTCAGAGAGGGGATTCTCTGGCCACAGTGTCTTGTCCCCAGGTGCCTGCACCCCTAAGCTGGGGCCCTAAGCTGCACCCATCTTGATTTTGACATTACTGAGTTTAGCTCATTTCACAAGTTGGGGTGGAGTTTTGCGTTTCCTTGAGTGCTAATGGAGAGTTTCGTGAACTTCTTCAGCTTCAGACATTGTAAAGTTTTTGGCTTTTTCTTAGTGCTTCTTGGGAGACCTGGCTTTTGCTCTTCCTCATGGTGTCGTTTTACTTTTGAGCCACTTTCTTTGTTGGCTGTGACTTCATCTTGAAGCTGTAGTCTGGGTTTTCAGTCTGTTTCCATCCAGTGGCAGCAGGCAGTAATGGTCTGAGTCTGTGGAGAAGCACAGGTGTGTCCCCGCTGCAGTACAGGGCCACACAGGGGCTGAGTTTGCTGGGCTCTGCTTGCTGTCCTGCTTGTCCTGTTGTAGTAGTGACAGTTTAGCACTCTTCGCTGAGCCCGCTTTCTTCAGCTGCTGACATGTCCGTCAGACCTACACTCAGCTCGTCAGTGTGATCGCTATTGCGCAGACCTATGGGTCATTTGAGGGCGTTCCCATCTCCTGGCACGTGAACCCCGCATTTCTCCTGAGGCTGTGAGAGCCCTGAGAGTGCACCCACTGCCTCGGAAGCTTTAGGCAGAGTGGCTTTTGGTGTACTTGAAGTTGTTTCTTTTTAAAGACTTTATTTTCTAGTTATTTCCCGATGTATAAGAATGCAATTGATGTTTCATATTATTGGCTTTGTTTTTCATCTGCCACGCTTGCTCACAGTAGTTTTGGTCTTCGACTCTTCTGTGTTGACAGTGTTAATTATAGGTGACATTTACCACACCTTACTGTGTTCTCACTTTCTCGAATTACCTTGCTTTTTGGTTTGACCCTCCAGGCATCATTGTTTACACTACCTCAGACCGTCATCGGTTATCAACATTGTTAGCAGTAGTCAGACAGTCTCTGCATGCTGCTTTCTTTGTTCCATGTTCCTTTTGAATCTTAGCTCTGTATCTGGAATCCTGCAGCCAGAAGTTGGATGTGTGCTGTCTTTGCACCCAGGATTCCCTGGCAGCAAATTTTCTCCATTTAGTGTCCGACAGGCTCTGTCTTTGTTTTCCTTCTTGACAGGTGTTGTCTCAGGCTGTAGCATTGCACTGATGTGATGCTCTTGGCAGCAGAACACATCTCTGTCTCTTGTTTTCTATTGTCATAGATGGCTCAGCTGTCTGTCACAGACTTGCCTCTTAGAAGGTAATCATTGCTGTCTGTGATTTTTAATCTCATTGTTTTAGTTTGGTGCCCTGTGATCCCATTACCTTAGGTGGGGCTGGCTGCTCTGTCTGTCTTCTTTGAGCTTAGGCATCTCAGTTGTTTTTAGCATCTTTCTGAGCACAGTGAGGAAGAGGCCAGACTGAGAATTAGGCTGTGCCAGTCTGAACCCAGTGTTAGCGCTGATTCTGGGTAGGTGTGCTTCAGTTTCCCTGATTTAACATGGGGACAGTGCTGGGATCTGTCTTTACAAATGTTTGGGGATCAGATTGCTACGGTCAGCAGAGACTTGACCCTGAGTAGACTTTCTGCCTTCTTAGGGTCCGTCCTCTGCCTGTTGCCTCTGTGCCAGGCCAGCTACTGGAGCTGCTCTTGACATTTCAGTGGCACCGTGTTTAGATGGCCACGTAGTTGTTCTTACGGGAAACGTGACTCTAAAACACACCGATGCCGTGTGCAGAAGCCATATCCCTCTTTTGCATCTGTAAACGATGTGTGTGCACTTGTGTTCACAAAGCTGTCTGTTCCACTGTGGCTGTCAGCAAAGGCAGGCTGAAGAGAAGACAGGCTGAAAGAGGGTTACGAGGGTTGTGTTATGTGTTGGGTTGGGCCCCTCTGACTTTGGCCTGCACCAGTGTTCTTCTGACAAGGGATGGCAGTGTGAGCTCTTCATTGTACCACTCTGGAAGAATGTGAGCAATGGTCATCGGCAGGGTGCTGTTCTTTATGTGTGGTCAGGAGTGGTTGTGGAAAGGGTTTGGATCCTGGTGGCAGAGGGCAGGTGTGCGGAGGTTCCCAGTGCTCTCAGGTCACAGATCTGTCCTGTCATGGGCAGTTCTGAGGAAGGAGACCTGGTGCCTCTCCCCTCGGGTTAGCTGATTTCTGAGAGTGTTGCGCATCCAGGTTAACAAGTGTGGTTTTCCTCACTTCAGTTGCAAGCAGAGGCCCCAAGGCTGGCGGAATACCAAGCGTACATCGATTTTGAGATGAAAATTGGGGATCCTGCTCGTATTCAGTTGATCTTCGAGCGCGCCCTGGTGGAGAACTGCCTGGTCCCAGACTTATGGATCCGCTACAGTCGGTACCTAGTAAGATTGTGCCCCAGTTCAGTGTCTGCCAAGCTAGCCGTGAAAGAGATGGTTAAAGTGAAGCCTCCGCACACACCGCTGACCTTCAGCAGCGGTCAGCCTGGGTGGCTGGCTTCATTGTCTCTCTCCCTACTGTCCCATCTCTGTGTTCTTCACTGCTGCCTCAGCATGCATATGAAATGTCCTTCTGTGTGAAAGGACCCAGCTGAAGTTCAGACATCAGGGTTGTGTCTGTGGGACGGTTTGGACTGCCAGCTCCCCTGCCCTGCTTATCTTGCATTCTCCTGGTGATTTCTTCCTTGAAGAAGTCAGGCCACAACATTCTTTTACGTATGTTTTGGTCTCCATTTCTTCTGAGACAGGTCTCAATACATAGCCCAAGCTGACCTCAAATGTGTGAATCTCCTGCTTCAGACTTGTAGTTGCCCCCCCACCCCTTCCCTGGAGGGGGGTGGGCAGGGGAGGGAGGCTGCCACCCAGCTCCCAAATAAGTACACAGAGACTTATTCCTATGTCTGAATGCCTGGCCTTAGCTTGGCTTGTTTTTAGCTGTCTTTTCTAACTTAAATTATCCTGTTTCTCTTTTAAGTTTTGCCTCTGGGCTTTTTACCTTTCTTTACTCTATATGTCTTTCTCTCCTTCTTAATCCATGGCTGGCTAGATGGCTGGCTCCTGGCATCTTCCACTCTTCCTTTTCTCAATCCTCCCTTTCTCTTCAAGCCTAGATTTCTCCTGCCTGCCAGTCCTGCCTATTTCTCTCTCTCTCTCTCACCTTGCTGTTGACCATTCAGCTCTTTGTTAGACCATCAGGTGTTTAGACAGGCACAGTAACACAGCTTCACAGACTTAACAAATGCAACATAAAAGAACGCAATGCAAGTCTGTTTCATTGAACAGATATCTCACAGCATAAATGAATGTAACACATCTCACATGTTAAACTATATTTCACACACAGCCTCCTGAGTGCTGAGATGACAGGGCATACCTTGTGCGTTCCTAGCTTTACAAGAGACGTTTCAAAGGAATCTCTTCCATCAGTTGGCTGTTCTGGGAGTGTCTCACTGATTGTCATTAGTACTTTTCTCAACCACGGCCAAGTACCTGATAGAGGCAGCTTAAGGAAAGAGGTTGAGGAGATGCAGCCCTTGATGGTGTGGGCTGTGATGATGATGTGTGGGCTGTGGTGATGATGGTGTGGGGGCTGTGTTGATGATGGTGGGGGCTGTGGTGATGGTGGGGGCTGTGGTGATGATGGTGTGGGCTGTGATGATGATGGTGTGGGGGCTGTGGTGATGATGGTGTGGGCTGTGATGATGATGTGTGGGCTGTGATGATGATGGTGTGGGGGCTGTGGTGATGATGGTGGGGGCTGTGGTGATGGTGGGGGCTGTGGTGATGATGATGGTGGGGGCTGTGGTGATGATGGTGTGGGCTGTGGTGATGATGGTGTGGGGGCTGTGGTGATGATGGTGGGGGCTGTGGTGATGATGGTGTGGCTGTGGTGATGATGGTGGGGGCTGTGGTGATGATGGTGTGGGGGCTGTGGTGATGATGGTGGGGGCTGTGGTGATGATGGTGGGGGCTGTGGTGATGATAGTGTGGGCTGTGGTGATGATGGTGTGGGGGCTGTGGTGATGATGGTGGGGGCTGTGGTGATGATGGTGTGGGCTGTGGTGATGATGGTGTGGGGGCTGTGGTGATGATGGTGTGGGGGCTGTGGTGATGATGGTGGGGGCTGTGATGATGATGGTGTGGGCTGTGGTGATGATGGTGTGGGCTGTGGTGATGATGGTGGGGGCTGTGGTGATGATGGTGGGGGCTGTGGTGATGATGGTGTGGGGGCTGTGGTGATGATGGTGGGGGCTGTGGTGATGATGGTGGGGGCTGTGGTGATGATGGTGGGGTGTGGTGATGATGGTGTGGGGGCTGTGATGATGATGATGGGGGCTGTGGTGATGTTGGTGGGGGCTGTGGTGATGATGGTGTGGGCTGTGGTGATGATGGTGTGGCTGTGGTGATGATGGTGTGGCTGTGGTGATGATGGTGGGGGCTGTGGTGATGATGGTGTGGGGGCTGTGGTGATGATGGTGGGGGCTGTGGTGATGATGGTGGGGGCTGTGGTGATGATGGTGTGGGGGCTGTGGTGATGATGGTGGGGGCTGTGGGGATGATGGTGGGGGCTGTGGTGATGATGGTGTGGGGGCTGTGGTGATGATGGTGTGGGGGCTGTGGTGATGATGGTGGGGGCTGTGATGATGATGGTGTGGGCTGTGGTGATGATGGTGTGGGCTGTGGTGATGATGGTGGGGGCTGTGGTGATGATGATGGTGTGGGCTGTGGTGATGATGGTGTGGGGGCTGTGATGATGATGGTGGGGGCTGTGGTGATGTTGGTGGGGGCTGTGGTGATGATGGTGTGGGCCTTGGTGATGATGGTGTGGCTGTGGTGATGATGGTGTGGCTGTGGTGATGATGGTGTGGGCTGTGGTGATGATGGTGTGTGGGCTGTGGTGATGATGGTGGGGTGTGGTGATGATGGTGTGGGGGCTGTGATGATAATGGTGGGGGCTGTGGTGATGATGGTGGGGCTGTGGTGATGATGATGGTGTGGGCTGTGGTGATGATGGTGGGGGCTGTGGTGATGATGGTGGGGGCTGTGGTGATGATGATGGTGTGGGCTGTGGTGATGATGGTGGGGGCTGTGGTGATGATGGTGTGGGGGCTGTGGTGATGATGGTGTGGGGGCTGTGGTGATGATGGTGGGGGCTGTGGTGATGATGGTGGGGGCTGTGGTGATGATGGTGTGGCTGTGGTGATGATGGTGGGGGCTGTGGTGATGATGGTGGGGTGTGGTGATGATGGTGGGGTGTGGTGATGATGGTGTGGGGGCTGTGATGATGATGATGGTGTGGGCTGTGGTGATGATGGTGGGGGCTGTGGTGATGATGGTGGGGGCTGTGGTGATGATGATGGTGTGGGCTGTGGTGATGATGGTGGGGGCTGTGGTGATGATGGTGGGGGCTGTGGTGATGATGGTGGGGGCTGTGGTGATGATGGTGGGGGCTGTGGTGATGATGGTGTGGGGGCTGTGGTGATGATGGTGGGGGCTGTGGTGATGATGGTGGGGGCTGTGGTGATGATGGTGTGGCTGTGGTGATGATGGTGGGGGCTGTGGTGATGATGATGGTGTGGGCTGTGGTGATGATGGTGGGGGCTGTGGTGATGATGGTGGGGGCTGTGGTGATGATGATGGTGTGGGCTGTGGTGATGATGGTGGGGGCTGTGGTGATGATGGTGTGGGGGCTGTGGTGATGATGGTGTGGGGGCTGTGGTGATGATGGTGGGGGCTGTGGTGATGATGGTGGGGGCTGTGGTGATGATGGTGTGGCTGTGGTGATGATGGTGGGGGCTGTGGTGATTTGCTTCTGGCAGCAGCTGTTTCAGTCAGGGGTTGGAGAGTGGGATTCAGGGTGGGAGTGGAGTCGAGTTATAACCCTCAAGGCTCTCCCCTCTCTCACTGACCCACTTGCTCAGCTAGGGCCTGCCTCCCCAAAGTTTCACAACCTCCTAAAACAGTGCCAGCAGCTGGTATCGGGTGTTGGAACACGAGCCTGTGGGGGGAGTTTACATTCAGTTTCTACCACTGCGGAAGTCGTACAATTCTGCCCTCTCACTCTGGGATTCTTTGTCACAGGATCGACAGCTGAAAGTAAAGGATTTGGTTTTATCTGTACACAGCCGTGCTGTGAGGAACTGCCCATGGACAGTTGCCCTGTGGAGTCGCTATCTCTTGGCCATGGAGAGACACGGAGTGGACCATCAAATGATTTCTGGTGTGAATGTTTGTGGGAGAATTTCTAAGTTATTTTTTGGAATATTCTATGCAGCTTGCTGTGGAGCCTAGGCTTGCTGGGATGACACACCTGAGCCACCATGCCTGGCAGCTCTAGCCTTCTGTCCCAAGTGAGGACCAGAGCTACGGCAGTCTTGAGCCAGTGCCCCAGGGCCTGCCTTGTGGCAAAGGCTGTGTGGCTTAACGCTTTAGCCTCTAATACTCAGTGAATTTCTTAGAAGCCATGAACTGTCTTGTCCTCCTGGGACTTGCACAGTGGAAGAAGAGTTCCTCCTGGAGCACAGGGCTGGAGGGGGTGCCCTTTAAGCCTACTTCTGTATTTTCTAGAGCACAGGACTGTAGGGGTGCCCCCTGCAAACACTGCATTTATACTTGTCCTTCCTTGGTGTGTGATGCTGGGATAGACATCTACGGCTTGTGTATTTATAAGTGCATAAACCACACATTTATGGGTTTTGATGGCTTTATTTCTTTTTGAATTGTCTGGTGAATGTTGTGTTTTCTCCATTTCAGCAACCTTTGAGAATGCTCTGAGTGCTGGCTTCATCCAGGCCACTGACTATGTGGAGATTTGGCAGGTGTACCTAGACTACCTGAGGAGAAGGGTTGACTTTAAACAAGGTAGAGTGTGGACCTCCACAGAATCGGGCTTAGTTATCATGTCCCCCCACCTCCCTCCCTCCGTGTGTGTGCGCGCGCGCGTGCGTGCGTGCGTGCGTGTGTGTGTGTGTGTGTGTGTGTGTGTGTGTGTGCGCACGCGCGCACATCCTGGAGATGTGTCCCTGTTCTTTAAGCACATTGCGATTTTGAAAGGGTTGGTGAATGACCTGCCATTAGAACATTTGTTTCTGGAAACTAGCAATTTCTATCTGAAGTCACTGTGGCATGGCAAGGATGACAGTTCTTATGCTTGTGCTGGCTCCCGGCAGCCATGGTAGCCTCTCATTTTCTGTGTCTGACCTGTCATAAGCCCTGTTTTAGTTTCTTTTCTGTTACTGTGATACATGCTCTGACAGACACGCAGGGAAAACGCACAGGCTAGTAAGTTGGGGAGTCACGGCTGAGGAGCTTAGAGCAGCTGCCACAGGACTTTGATGGAGGAACCCAGGCGCGTGCGCGCGCCGCGCGCGCGCACACACACACACACACACACACACACACGGAGGGAGGGAGGGAGGTAGGGGGACATGATAACTAAGTCCGATTCTGTGGAGGTCCACACTCTACCTTTGTTACAAGGATGCAAAGGTGTTTCCCTGAGCAGCCAGCAGTGGCCGTCAGGATGCTGCTCCCTCCTCATCAGCCCTGAAATGCTTCTCCCTGCACACGAACACAAGCCCACGCGACAGAGCTGGCAGTGTGGCCCACACACCCAAAGCATCCCTCAGCTCCGTTTCTCTGTCCCAGGGCACAGCTTTCAGGAGAGACGCTCTAACCTGGGAGCCATATTCTCACTAGCTCAACCACCATGGCCAGTGAATGCATATGGCACTGGGCACACCACCCAAGGATACTGTGGCTGATGAACAAACAGAAACCAGGACAATAAGCTGGACAATCCTGTAAGCTCTCATTGGCCATGATACATCCTGGCCCCAAACCAGGGAAAGGGCCCAGTCTACACACAGACAGAGTTTGTCCACCATGCATGAAAGCCTGGTCAATGAGTGTGGCAGAGGTTGCCCATCACAGGCAGGCCCAGGGGCCCTTCTTCCTGCTGATTCTGGGTCCTGTGGAGTTGATACTGACCACCACAATCCCCAGATCTTTTTTCCAACAAGGCTGCCATGTTCTTTTAGGTACTTGTCTCTAGGATCCCTGTTCCACACTGGTGGACTTACATACACAGCCCATGCCACCTGCCTGTCTCTGCTGTACAGCATCTATGTCTATTACTGCCACCACGTCTTTCCATCATTTATTACAGTGAGAGGAAGTGTGACTGAGTTTCCTGTGTCCATAGTGGGTCTCCATGCTTGTGGTGTGAGATTTCAAAATGGTGGCTGTCGTGACTTCATGGAGTTCCTCTGCCTTTTCCCACAGACTCTAGCAAGGAGCTGGAAGAGTTGCGCTCCATGTTCACACGTGCTCTGGAGTATCTGCAGCAGGAGGTGGAGGAGCGTAAGTGTCCAGCCTGCTGTCTGCCTTGCTCACCAAACCTCTCCCTACCCGGGGTGCTTGCTTCATGCCTATCCTAACTGTTCCATTCCATTCTGGAAGGTTTCAACGAGAGTGGAGATCCAAGCTGTGTGATCATGCAGAGCTGGGCTCGGGTTGAGGTGAGTGTCTTCATGGCCTGTCATGCCCTCCTCTGAGGGCTTTGGTCGAGTGCTTTGTTCAGCATTCAGGAATTGGGGGGCAGAATCTGAGGGTGTGGTCTTCGAAGCAGCAGTGCCTGGACTCTGACAGTGAATCCATCCACCTCCTCAGCTCCTCCCCCGCTGCTGCTTGAGGGTGTACTGAGTGCGCGCTGTTTACCAGTGCTCTGTGGGTTCTGTGAGTGAGCTGGTCTCTGTATGCTGAAGGCGTTAGCCTTGTCCAGAAGATGGACTGTGTGAGCAGTAGAGGGTTCAGGTGGATGCTGTTCCTGAACCAGGGGCACTGAGCAGATAGACTTATAAGAGTCTTGTTGAATTTTGAAGGAAGAGAAACAGACTCTGCACTTAGGTGGTGTTGCTAGTTTAAGGTGACTTTGAGGTGACTGAGCTAGCATTTACTGCTGGATCAGTATCTTCCTCTGTAATGCTTTCCAAGTAAACATTTGTAGTCAAGTTTATATAAAAAGTAAATGGCTGCCCTGCCTCATGTTTGCAAGACCTCTCTGCAGAACCTTTGTCTCTGGCTCCAGGGCCTCTCTGTGCTGCAGGCTGTATCTGAGCCTCAGCTTTGTGCAGACCTGTGAGGCTCACCGCTGCAGAAAGGCAAGCAGCCAGGCTTCAGGCCTGTGAGAGGCCTGGGGGGTTGTGGGACACAGTCATGGGGCAAGGGGAGGAGCGTTTTTGGCATACCTGTGTGGATATAGCTATGATAGGGCTCAGGGCCTGTCCCAGCTGATGTTGCTGATGTATTTTAGGCTCGCCTGTGCAATAATATGCAGAAAGCTCGAGAACTCTGGGATAGCATTATGACCAGAGGAAATGCCAAGTATGCCAACATGTGGCTGGAGTATTACAACTTGGAAAGGTGAGTGACCCAGGGCAGGTGACGTCTGTATCCATTCTTGGCTGAGGTGACTTGATCCTGTTCCTTGGGATGGGTACCCTCTTGCCTTTTCCTTTAGCAGAACCTGTGCCTGGTAAGTCTTGAGAACCAGTGTTTTGTGTGGGGGTGGAGGGCTCATAGCCATGAAGTTCTTCTAAACTGTTTGCTTTTTGTTTTGAGTTTTGAACATGCCTCCTTGGACTCTTGTGGGGGGGGTGTTTGTTTTTTATTACTTTTGTATAGGAAAGCTCAAAGCACTGAAAGAGAAAAGAGAAGCCTCAGATTAGCTAGGGGCTGCTTTCTAGACTTAGTGTTATTCATAGGTTAGGGTGGGCTCCTTGATGGTGTGTTTGTAGTGTGTGTGTCCAAGCTGTGACTATTCTAGATTATTGACTAGAGTAAACTATACCTAGTGGGAATACCAAAAACATTGAGATTGAGACTGTGTGTAACCTAGGCTGGCCTTGAAACCATGGTGATTCACCTACTCCAGCCTTCCCAAGTGCCTGTCAGGATGGCAGGCATGAGCTGCCACCACTCTGAAGGTTTTGAGTATGCTCATACATGCATGCATGCATGCATGCATGCATGCTTGTATACGTATGCACGTATGTACATACATACATTTTCTCTGAAGGTTTTGAGTATGCACATGCATGCATGCATTCGTGCCAGGGTAAAAACCTGGCTCAGAGCATGGAGTTAAATCATCTAGTCAGTAGTATGCAGAGCCCTCTGGTGGGCTGCAGACTTCTTCAGGAGCCAGCTCAGGGTGCATTCGGTTGATGCATGGTTCCCTCCCATGTGCACAGAAGACCTGGCTAGAGGCTCTTGTCTGAGGTGCATCCCTGGCGCACCTGCCTCGTCAAGGGAAAGCGTTTGTAGAGGAGGGTCTCCCCTCACGACTGCAGAGGCTTGCGGCAGGAGAGAAAAGGCCCTGGTGCTTCTGAAAGCTGCTATCAGGGCTTTTCTGTCCTAGCAGCAACCTGTCATGTTCTTTGCTGTGGACCTTCATGACACTACTTGTTCTCTGCTCTAGGGCACACGGTGACACGCAGCACTGTCGGAAAGCTCTGCACCGAGCTGTCCAGTGCACGAGTGACTACCCTGAGCACGTCTGCGAAGTGTTGCTCACCATGGAGAGGACAGAAGGTGGGACCCTGCTTCTGCTTCTGCTTCTGGCTTGAGTGTGGTCCTTTGGCCAGGAGTCTCCAGTGGAAACATCTGGTCTGTAAGGACAGGTTGGCTGCTTGCCTGTGGGAGTGAGTCCTCTTGCAGCGGTCCTCAGTCTGCAGGCACAGGAAGGGCTCAGGTGCACTTGTGACTGCCCTCATCAGTTAGATCCAGTAGCCGCCCTCCCCACCACAACCACTGTGGACTCCTGACAGATGTCCCTTGGCCGGGAGGAGCCTGCATGAGAACTACTGCTCTAGCAGTGTGGGGCACTGAGAGGCGGGGCTCAGAATATTCCTTGGTCCTCTGTGGAATTTTAGTTTCTTGGTCCTAAGCTATAGCAGTAGAAGTTGGGAAGACTGTGGGTTTCTTCATGGGCGCCTGTCTGGATTGGAGTGTGAGCCTGAGACCTGCAAGTAACACCCAGAACAGACATGCTGGGAGTAGCTCCTCGGCTCTTGAGTTTCACGTGTCCTGCTCTGGAATGTTTTTACAATCTTTGCCATTGAGAGCTGCAAAGCTGTCTTTTTGTTTGTTTTTAAGTCTCTCTTTGGAAGGAGGAAGGACACATAGCAACCTAGAAGGATTATTAGAACTATAGACGGGCACCCGATGACATGCAGCTGCAGTTCTTGTGACAGGAGCTGTCTGCTCTGGTCAGTGAGGTCAGGGAGCACTGGCACAGTCTGGAAGTGAGGGCTCAGAGCTCTACTCTTCTTTCTCCTCAGGAACCTTAGAAGATTGGGATGTGGCCATTCAGAAAACTGAAACTCGCTTGGCTCGAGTGAATGAGCAGAGGATGAAGGTGACCGCAATGCTCCCAAGGGTTTGGGACTGTACTGCTCCACCCCCTTGTTTGCTGTGGTGTTCTGTCTGCGTGAATGTCTGTGCTCCACGTGTGGGCAGTGCCCACAGTTGCCAGGAGAGGGTATCAGATCCCATGGTACTGGCGTGTCTGTTGGGAACAGCCATGTGGGTGCTGGGAATTGAACCTGGGTCCTCTGGAAGAGCAACTGGTGCTCGTAACCACTAAGACATCTCTCTTGCCCCTTCATAAGACACTAACTAAAAACCATTTGGTCAGTATTTATACTTATCCCTTGTCATTTTATAGATTCACTAAAAGCTTTTCAAATTGCCTGTCGGTGGTGGTGCTCCCCTTTAATCCCAGCACTCAGGAGGCAGAGGCAGGTGGATCTGTGAGTTCAAGGCCAGGCTCCAAAGCTACAGAAAAACCCTGTCTTGAAAAATCAAACCAAAACAAAAACTTCCAACGTAACAAGAATCGACTCCACAACATCAAATAGAAGAGACTCAGAGGGGCTCGTGGGGCCTCATGCTTGGAAGCTGTTGGCACTTGATGGCTACTAGGGAAGGAGCTTCATTTCAGTTTGCTTCTAGGTTACAGCCTGGGCTAGATTGCCACACTACCTCCACTGGATGGCCTCTGTAGACGTACCAGTGGTACCAGTTAGACTCAATGGTTTAATGGAAGGAGTCAAAGTTGAGGGAGATATGGTGACCAGCATCCGAGATGAATCAGAGGGAAGATGGGGGATTTGATCAAATTGTGTTGTCTATAAGGATGAATCATTGTTTTTTAAAGGAACCACAATTGGCCTGTGAGGTTTTCTAAGTTGTAGGTGGGAAGACCCACCCTGAATGTCTGAAGGAAAGGAAGTGAGCTGAGCATGGCGTGCGGGCATTCCTTCTCTTATCTGGATGGCCCTGGCCGCTTCAACTTCCTGCCCTGGCCTCTCCACCACAGTAGACCTGCAAACGGCCTGCAGCTGTGAGCTCAGATGAACCTGTTCTCCCTTCTGGGGCTTTCATCAGGCTACTCTGTCCCAGCATAGAGATGAAGCAGCCAGGGCCCTGCCTTTAGGAATGGGTTTTCTTTTTCTTGCTGTGTAATGATTGAGGCTATTGAAGGTATATGAGTTATGAGTCTCCTCTCGACATGCTCTTATGATCTTGTGTTGCATGAAGAGTCAATGGTGTGTGCCCCTCCCCCAATCTTCAAGGCCTTGTCCCCTCACAAGCCAGCCAGCATAACATGGCACCTGGGATGTCCTGCCCTCTTTCCTAGGCTGCAGAGAAGGAAGCGGCTCTTGTGCAGCAGGAAGAAGAAAGGGCTGAACAGCGGAAGAAGGTGCGGGCCGAGAAGAAAGCCTTGAAAAAGAAGAAAAAGACCCACGGTGCAGAGAAACGCAAGGTGGATGAGGAGGACGAGGAGGAGGAAGGTACTGTACCTTAGCCGGAGCCTACACACGCAGTCCATAGCACATGTCTTCTTAACTGTCCTTGGTATCCTCAGCGTGAGCACACACTGATGTCACAACTGTGTTGTCCCAGCACAGTGAGGACTCATACTGTCAACTCCTCAGCTCTGTTTGCCATCTCCATTTCTCTGTAGTGACTCTGTGGTAAAGTCACAGTTGAAAATTGGTGTTCTATGTAGCTGCCCTGTGTCTTGAGGCAGTGGTAGAAGCTGTCCAGACCTAGCCCATGTCTGCTGGTGGGATGCAGAAGGACTCTGGCCAGTATTAAAAGAGTGGTTTTTTGTTTTTTGTTTTCATTGACATAGTTGTGGGGCCTGGTGGCTGTCCCTCTTGTGTAATCACTGTGCAGATTGTGTGGGTGTGCTTGATGCAGAAGGAAGTCCTAAGACATTGACTGCCTCTGCTTCTCTTTTGAATGCCTGCAGAGCAGCCTTCCAAACGCAGAAGGGTGGAGAACAGTCTGGCCTCCGGAGTGGCCTCGACCATGCAGGAAGACACAGAACTCTCTGGGAAATGTGTAACGATAGATGTTGCTTCTCCTTCCAAGCAGAAGGAGAAGGCAGCCTCCCTCAAGCTGGACATGCCCAAAGTGGCGCACGATAGCAGTAAAGACAGGGTCACTGTCTTTGTCAGCAACTTGCCCTACAGCATGGATGAGCCAGAGGTGAAGCTCAGGCCACTCTTTGAGGCCTGTGGGGAGGTGGTCCAGATCAGGCCGGTCTTCAGCAACCGTGGGGACTTCCGAGGCTACTGCTATGTGGAGTTTAAAGAGGAGAAGTCAGCGCAGCAGGCCTTGGAGCTGGACAGGAAGAATGTGGAAGGAAGGCCGATGTTTGTTTCCCCTTGTGTGGACAAGAGCAAAAACCCCGATTTTAAGGTATGTTTTGGGAGAAAGGATGCCTTTAAGGTGACTGCCAGATGGGCGGTGCTCAGTGCCTGGAGGCTCAGTGCCTGGAGCCCACACAGGACCATGCGCTGGCAGGTGTGGAGCCCGTGTACCAGGCTTGCAGGCGCCACCACTCTGAGCCTCCTCTTGGTTTGGTGATGGATGTAGTTAGCGTGTGGAAAGACTGCTTACCCTTGGGTGCTCAAGAGCGCATGGCAAGAGTGACTTCACCCGTGCTCATTGCATGACTGTCATTCTGGGGTGGGGTGCCCCGAGAGCGGGTGTAGCTCAGAGTGAATTCCTCGACACACATGCTGGGCTGGGCTGTCCTGAGCTGTGGGCTTTACCTCTCTTTCAGGTGTTCAGATACAGCACCACCCTGGAGAAACACAAGCTCTTCATCTCGGGCCTGCCCTTCTCCTGCACCAAAGAGGAGCTCGAGGACATCTGTAAGGCTCATGGCACCGTAAAGGACCTCAGACTGGTTACCAACAGGGCTGGCAAGCCGAAGGTCAGTGGGGCACAGGCAGACTTTGGGTCTCCACTGAGGAGTGGCCCTGTTAGGTTCTTTTGGTACACATTTGGGTTCATCTCTCAAACCCCGACTCACCCACACTGGAGAGTTGGAAAGTGTTGTGGAAAGAAGATGCCAAAGGATAGTGACCGTCTGTGCTCTGGTTTGTGTCTCTCTGACCTTTCCCTGGGCTCACACTGTTTTTTCTTTGGGGCAAGCACAGAGAGACACAGAGAGGTTTTTAGAGCTTCCAGTCAGTGACAGCCACTGGGAATAAATCTGTAGCCAGGATGGTGATGTTCAGGAGGTCACTGCTGATGGGTGCCCGCCTACCTCGGCTGCTCTCCTGAAGGAAGCCAGGACCTTGGCATCTGGCCCACCTGTGGGTATTGTCTTTCAGGGCCTGGCCTATGTGGAATATGAAAGCGAATCCCAGGCATCACAGGCAGTGATGAAGATGGACGGCATGACCATCAAAGAGAATGTCATTAAAGTGGCAATCAGCAACCCCCCTCAGCGGAAAGTTCCAGAGAAGCTGGAAGTGAGGACAGCACCAGGGGCCCCTATGCTACCTCGGCAGATGTATGGCGCGTAAGTGTCCTCTGCTGTTTTGGGCAGATCTGTCCTGGCAGGGGCTGGGGGCTGGGCTCTTGTGTCTGGAGAGTAGTGTGTTGGGTCAGAAAAACCAGTGCCTACTGCTCTTTGTGGCCCCTGGTGTCACTGGGAGAGATGTGCACAGCCAGTCTCTAAAGGGAAGCGGCCCTGGTGGCACAGTAGTGTTTGCTGGTCACACCTTTTCTTGGTGGCACTGGGAATGGAACCCAGGGCCTTATGAGTGCTAGGCAAGAATGAGGTTTCTCATGCTGTGATTAAGACCATCGGGAAGAAAGGGTTTATTTGGCTCATCACTTACAGTTGCTCCATTATCAGGAAGCCAAGACAGGATCCTGGAGGCAGAGGCTGTGGAGGAATACAGAAAGCTTACTGGCTTCCTCTCCATGTCCTGTGCAGCCTGTTTCTTTAATTTTTTTGTTTGTTGTTATTTACGTTTATTTTATGTGTTAGTATCTTGCCTGCTTGTATGTCTATGCAACACGTGTGCAGTGTTCACAGAGGCCAGAAGAGGGCATCAGATCCTCTGGAATTGGAGTTAGAAATGGGGTGCTGAGAATTGCCCTGCCTGCCTGCTTTCTTTCACTTTTACTATTGATGTATTTATTTTAATGTGTATGGGTGTTTTACCTGCAAGAACGTCTGTCGCCTATGTGCAGTACCTGTAGAGGCCAGAACAGGGCATTAGACCTGGAATTACAGGTAGTTGTGAGCCACTGCATGGGTGCTGGGAATCCAACCCCAGACCTAGAAGATCAGCCAGTGCTCTTACCTGCTGAGCCATCTCTCTAGCCCTAGCCTGCTTTCTTTTTTTTTTTTTTTTTTTTTTTTTTTTTTTGGTTTTTCGAGACAGGGTTTCTCTGTGGCTTTGGAGGCCCTAGCCTGCTTTCTTACATAAGCCAGGACATGTACCTGCCTGGAGATGGCACCACTGGCCCCTCCCACATCAATCATTAGTGAAAAACATGCTCCACTGACTTCACACAGGCCAGGCGGATGGAGGCATTTTCTTAATCAATGTTCCCTCTTCCTGGATGATTATGGCATGTGTGGAGTTAACAAAAAACTAGCCAGCTACATTCTTAGCTTTTGATGGAATTTTGAGACGGCCTTAGCCTCTGGCAGAGCTGGGGTCACAGGCACCCAGCTGAGGTTAACTCTGAGGCACCGTATGTGGTGTTGCCTTTGTCACTGACCGGTGCTCAGGACAGAACTGGAGCTACACGTGTGGCAGCCTGCGGTGCAGCTGTCACCCCCATAGGTTGTGTTGTTCTGCTCACTTGATAGGAGCTGGCAGTGCCAGGCTCTTTGAGCTCTGCCATGGCAGCCACTTTTGTCACCTGTGACTTGGTATAGGGTGTTCCTTGTCAGAGCTGTAGAGAACGCAGCTTGTTCAAGTGTTCTTGCTGCTGGCTGGAGTCAGGTGGAGGGTGCCTCGTGGTTCCCATGCTTTCTTTTCCTGTGTGAGTTAGAACTCATCCTCATGCATGCCTGACCGTTTCCCATCTTCTGACTTGGCCTGATAATCCCAGCTGTAGTCCAGTAGTGCTCTAAAGGGTCATTGTGTTTGCTCTTTCTAGGCGCGGGAAGGGAAGGACCCAGCTCTCTCTCCTTCCTCGGGCTCTGCAGCGCCACAGTGCTGCTCCTCAGGCCGAGAATGGCCCTGCCGTGGGACCAGCTGTCACCACCTCCATGGCCACTGAGGCTCCTAAGATGTCCAATGCTGATTTTGCGAAGTTGCTTCTGAGAAAGTGAAGAGGGCTCCGAGAGATAGGAAATGCCTTACTCCTTCATGCTGGCCGGTCAGGCCACTGCAGGCCCTGGAGACAAGGGCTGGATACTCAACCCATCTCCCACAAATTGTCCTCTGATGTAGACAGGAAGGAAATGCCTACATTGAGCATGGCGGCGAGGAGTGTTCCCTCATATTGAGGGTGGAGGCCGACTGCTCTCAGGCCGTCCCCAGGTACTTCAGTGTCCTAACAAGGAGGAACTCAACTTTTGGGGCCCACTCGTCCTGATACTTTAACCACCTCTGGCCCTTTTTCTACAAACCTGCCCACCCCCACCCTCCCCAGCCCTGCACAGCACGAGTGCCCATGGCTCTTTAAACCTAGAAGATAAAATGGAAGATGCTTGTCACTCATCAGAATGGCCTATTTAGTAAGTGCAGGTGGGGATATCACAGAGAACACATTGGATGGGCTTTTGTCCAAAGAGGCTGAGTTTTTCTATTGTGTATTTGTAATTGACACTTCAACTGTTTTATGTTCCCTAAAGTGAATGTCTGTGACATTTGTTTATATAGGAATGTGTGTGCCACCCGCTGTGGACCATTTTCTTTGCCCGCTGACTGGAGACCTATGTCCTCTGTCCAAACACTTGTGTCTAAAGGCTTTGTCGAGCGCAATGAATTCCCCACTTAGCTTTGTTTATTAAAGTGACGTTCTCTTACCGAAGCCTTGCACAGTGCTGCTGGGTGTGTGTTCACTTAAGGTGGGTGTGTTTCACATGGATGCTTTCCTAAGGAGTGTGTTAACAACTTGTGCAAGTCAAATCTCGTGTCACTTTTATTAAATGATTTGCCAGTGACACGGACTTGTGAATGTGGCAGCCTGATACTGCTGGGAAAATTTTTTACTTCTCCCCTTCCATCCTGTAGTTCCTGCTTTAAAAGCCCCTCAGCAGGGGCAGGGAGAGCGGTGGGAAACAATCACTGTGTCAAGCACTTCAGTGAAAAACACTAGGGACCCGATGTGTGCTGGATATTGAGTTTACACAGCAGCCAGCCATTGGCCCAGCTGTAAGATTTTTGCCTAGGAGTATGCCTGGTGCCTATGGACTTTAGAAGAGGGATCACGTGGACCTCAAGTTATAGATAGGTGGTTGTGAGCTGCCATATGAGTGCTGGGAACAGAACCCAGGTCTCCTGTAAGAGCAACAGGCACTCTCTTTCATAACCATTGAGCCGTCCTCCAGCCCTTTGACGTTTTTATAGTGTAGGCGGGACCGTGTGCATGCTGGGGCTGTCAGCACTCAGCTCCTGCCCACCTCTCCTTTCCAGACACCAGGGCACCAGTCAGTCACCACCTAATGCTGTCAGGGCCTAGCCCCAGTTCAGCTCCTGTCTGGTGATCGGATGGTTAACTCCTGTAAATGCTGTGTTTAAGATGCAGGTTCTCCATCTTTGTTGAGTAGCACACAAAGACCTTTTTCTAGGCATTACCTCAATTAGACCACAACTCCAGGTAACAGGTGTCTCACTGTGGCATGGGTTCTTCCTGGGTCTGTCTGTGAGGGAGCCGACCTGGCAGCTGAGAATGCTCACCTGGGTGTGTGCTGAGAATCCCACTGGGTTTGTGTGGCTTTCCTGATGGTCTCACAGAAACCGCCTGGTTTTCTTCCTGGTGGCCAAATTCTCAGGTATGAGTTTGTTCTCTCCACAGGGTTCATGACACAGGTGAGCTTCCCCACATGCCAGAAGGGCCCAGTGAGGGCATCAGAAAGAGAAAACCTAAAATGATTTTGAATCTGGGTAAAAACTTAGTGAACTTAGCTGAGGGCAGGCCTTCTCTGAGATTTGTTCTCACAACAAGATACACAGTGGCAGCTCACAGCTCCCTCCCTGAATAAGACAATGCAGTCAGTGTTTATGTAATAAAATACTTTATTAGAACCAGTAATTTGTTAAAATATCATCCATATGTATGTAAAGTGCAGGTTCTCACTGCAGGACCAAGCAAGCACCCTGTGCGAATAGGTTTGCTGCGGAGAAAAGCAAGGGGCTTGGGGCTGCACTACCATGCAGTGGCGTGCAGTGGGACATGTCGCTGCAGGCTTGAGCTTTCACTCAGCCCCCCCAGAAAGTGCAGTGCAGTCTGGGACTCCCAGGCTGTCCCTCAGAACAAAACCCAGGGTGTCTAGCCATTGATTAAATAGCAGCAGTCAAATTGGCACTTAGCCATATATGATTGGAAAAAGTTTATTTCTTCTAAGATGACACTTTGAAATGTGCGTCTGTCAGGCATGACATTACTAGAAAAGCAAGGCCACTCTGAGGCAATCTCTACCTACCCAAGGGAACATCGGACCCTGTGATGGCTTTATAGGGGAGGGGGCTTAGAAACACAGGACAAAAGGGGACCAGTCTGGGCTGCAGTCACAGGTGTCTGCTGGCTTTTAATTCTTTTATCAGAAATCCTTATTTGGGGTTGGTGTGGTATCTTAGATCTGCTTTTTTTTTTTTTTTTTTTATGTTAGGGATGGTGCCTGGGGTGGGGTGTGTGCTATGTAAGCGTTTTTTACAAGGCCTTCAGACGTGGTCTCTAGGTTCTTCGTGTAGGAGACTGAATGGAAGTGAAAGCAGACCTGTTTTATGGTGTGAAGGAACAGGTTGAGAAGCTTGGAGAACCCTGTCTAAAGCATCTTGTTTGACTTGATGCAAATGAAGACAGGAGAAAGAAAAAGCCAAGCTGGCCGCCCTCCTCCTGAAAGTGGATAGGAAAATAACATCTCCCGACACGTAGGCTAGCAAGTTAATGGCTCGGAGTGGGGGTGTCTTTGGAAATCTGCAGTCTCCTGCTGGAGATGCTTCCTGTCTCAAAGCCAGTTGAAGCTGCCACCACAGCCTCTCAGGTGTGAAAGCCTGCCACAGAGCAGGGCAGGTTTTGCCCAGGATTGCAGCGGTCCTGGTCACAGGGCCTCAGAAGCATCTGAGTGGTTCCTGCAGCCCTGGGCTTTGGCCCACAGATCTGACCCCCCCTGCCCCGACTTTAGTGCAAATTCTGCCCAGAACCCAGGCTCAAGACATGAGAGGAGCGCAGCTGCCCCCACAGGGTGCTGGGGTCACCACAGGCATAGCAGTCAGCACCATTTGGCACTGCTAGCTTGCTCAAAAAAAAAATAAATAAATAACTTGGCTGAAGTATAAATTATCCTAAACACAAGGCTTAATAATTTAGTTTTCTTTCTCAACTAAAAACACCTGGAGGTAAAGAATGTCTAAATGTCTCCTGCTACTGGGGAGAGAGCTATGTTTCTAGAAAGGTGCTCTTCGAGGGCCCTCCTGGCTTCCCTTGTCGTCAAGGGAGGGCTGGCAGGTTAGGGCCTCACAGGGAGTGTCTCCTTGAACCCAGAATGGTTGGGCTGGGCTTCCGGCAGTGCCACGGAGTACTCAGTGGTGGCCAGGAGCAGTGTGTCCAATGTGACCTCCGTACACTTGGCAATGAAGCGGATAAAGGGCCGCACGTCACCCTCGTTGGCGACTTCCAATACATGGTAGTACTCCGACCTCTGCTCCTTGCGTATGGTGATGGGGGGGTACCCCGCCTGCATCAGGATGAGGTTCATCAGCAGGCGGGAGGTCCTCCCGTTGCCGTCGATGAAAGGGTGTATGTACACAAGTTTGTAATGGGCTAAGGCTGCGAATTCAACCGGGTGCAGATTCATGGCGTCCTCTGAATTGAGCCACTGTGTGAACTCCTGCATTTGCTTCTCCACGTCCCGGGGATGGGGTGGGATGTGGTGTCCCACCAGGACCTGGGTTCTCCGAAACCTTCCTGCCTCCACTGGGTCCACATACCCCAGCACCCTCCTGTGGATCTCTAGCATGTCGTCGATGGTGACGGACCCGATGCGGGAGACCAGAGTGGCGTTGATGTACTTCATGGCCGCATGCATGCCGATCACCTCGTTCTGCTCCTCCAGGCTCTTCCCCGGCACTGCGTAGCGGGTCTCCAGGATGTGCCTGATCTCCGAGAGGGTGAGGGTGTTGCCCTCGATCGCCACCGTGTGGTAGATGTGGTGGTAGTAGGTCTCCTCCATGACCCTGCGCAGGGCAGAGCTCCCCTTAGGGATGGACATGACCTTCTTCACTTTGCTGTCGATGATGCTGAAGTACCTCTGGTCAATCTCCTCCACGAGCGGCAGCGTCCGATCCCGGTTGACCAACGCCTTCTCGTGGAAGGGTGAGATGGTCAGTGCCCTGGTGTACAGGTAGTCCGCCTGGATGATGTCCTTTTCCTCTTCTGAGAAGATGCCGAACTCATTGAGCGCGTCTACGAAGCCAGGGTCCATCTTGAGGGCATGCAGGAAGAGCTTGTGGGCTTTCTCCCTCTTGCCTTGACGCTTCATCTCCAGGGCTTGGTTCAGTGCCGCCTTGGCTTCCAGCTTCCCTGCTGGAAGAGAGTCAGAGGCCTAATGAGGAGGGTGTGCTGCGGGGACACTCAGGAGATGTCCCTGGGTGGGTCTGCCATGCAGCTGTGTTAAATGTGCTCCAGGTGCTGCCATTCTCCACAGCCCCATGGCTGTGTCCTGAGTCACTCTGTATCCTGGGAGGCACCAGCTGGGCTCCCCTACCTGCCTGGACGTAGAAGTGGCATTTACGGTTCCTGTGCTCTCACTACAGTGGCAGCTCTGGGTGTCTGCCTGCCCTCTGGTCAGGTGGCCCCATCTCTTGAGCCCCTCCCCTTCAGGCCAGCCAATCCCTGGGGACTTCCCAGGTCTGGACTGCATTCAGTTAATGTGTGACCCCAGTCTGTGGTAATGTGTAGTGACTGGGGATCACTACACATGGGGCACACTAGTGGAGGGACCTCACTTTGAACGCAGCCCTCTTCCCGCTCTGTGTTGCCTCTGGGGGTCAGTGCTCGCACTCAGCTTCCCTGAATTCCTCAGTGTCTCCAAGATCCGTGCCCTGTGGTCTCCAGCTGCAGCCCTGTACTCAGACAATTTTCCTTGAACCATTTACCCTAGAGCTGAGATGTGGCTCAGGCCCCACCCTCTGTGAGTCTCCCTCCACACTCTGAGACACCTGTTCTCAAGTCACCAAACCGCAGTTCCTGCCTGCCTGCCTCGTAACACCCTTACGCCCACGCACAGGACGCAGCAAGCACTCTATCCACATCTGTCTTAAGGGCGAGATGGTCTGTGTGCTCACCTGGAGATGTCTTAGTCTTGACAGTCAGCAGCCCCACGTCCCCAGAGGTGACGCTGAGCTCTGTGGATGGGCTGGTGCACTTGGTGACCGCATGCTGTGACCTGTCCAGTTTGCTCCTGAGCAGGTGGAAACTTCTGAGCACAGCCAGACACTGCTCTTCCACGGCTCCCAGTGGCAGAAGCAGGGCCAGCAGCGACCCCAGAGCCATGCTCAGCAATATCAGCCACAGGAAACGGCCCCACATCCATTTGGGTTCAGCCACTGCTATCACCGAAGCCATTGGCATGAGTGTCATCTGGACTAAGGGCTGGGCCCGGAGCACTCGTCCCGTCACAGAGAGAAAGCAGAATCTGAGGAACGAAGCATCGTAGACAATGAGGCAGAGGGATGGACAGGTGTGAAGACTCATCACACCTGCTGCTGCACCAGGGAGAAGGGGGAAGGTAAGGGGCTTCCTGGGGGAGCCTCAGCCTGGCTGACCCTAATGCTGACTCCTAGCTCCTGGGTAGTGTGATAGGAATCTCATGCACTTACTGTACATATATTAACTCCCACAACAGACGATAACCCCAGGAGGTGATGTTTCCACCCCGCCCCCTCCACATGGGGAAACGAGCTCAGACAAGTGAAGCCCGGGATTTTCTCAGCCACGAAGTCCACCAGGGGATGTACTTCACTACAAGTGTGTGTTGCCACCGTACACCTAGCGTTTGGGCCCCCACTCGTGCACACGCGCGTGTATACACACCACATTCATAAACACAGATGTCTGGTCTCCGGGTTGTTACCACACGAAATCTGCCTCGGTGCCTACAGTGCTGCGTCCCTTTTGCCCTTCCTTTCCTGGCTTGTTCATCATGGACCGCGAGCCCAGGGCCTGAGCTACCACAGCGGGTGATGTCCCCACCTCAGTAAGGGCGGACACAAGCTTGGGGCTGGCTGGGGGGGAGCGAGGTGCCAGGTATGCAAACGCCATCTTGCCAACAATAAGCATTTATTGGGCAACTATGGTGTGGCGAGCACTGCTCTGGTCGCAATCCTTGCATACTGTGAGCGTCCCCGAGGAGAGCACGCTACCTGTAGCTCCGGTTTACAGAAGAGAGGGACGCCGCTTCTCTGACAGGCGGCGCCGGGGCTCGAGGGCCTTACCCGCCACGTCATCACTGCGCGCGCCTTGTGCAGTTGCTCCAGGCCAGCATGCTGGGCTTACTCCCGAAGGGGGGAAACTGAGGCTGGGAGAGGCGCAAGGCCTGCTGCCAGGTCCCTCCGAGAACTAGCTCCAGGGCTCGCGCCCGCCGCCGCACCATCTAAGCCCGCGCGGCGGTGCCTTGCAGCTACGATGGTCCACCCTGCCTCCAGAACCTCACCATTGGACGGCTTACACACCCTCGCTGCGCCGGATTGGCTCTTTTCCCCTGTCCATCCGTCGCGCTTCCGGGTTCTCGAGTTCGCTTCGGCCTCCCCGGGAAAGACGCGCCGTGTGCCGCTCCTATTGGCTGTCGCTCTGCGTCGCGTACCGGCAGTGACAAATAAGCGGCGGGGGCGGGGTCGAGGTCGTAGGCCAGTAGGGGACGCTCGCGTCCTGCCTCTGCTACCCAGCAACTGCTCGTTTTTCCAGGGTTCAGCCTGCATTTCCCGTGTCTCCGATTCATTCCTTAGTGTGCATTGGCCGTAGCCACTCCACCCAGCGTTTCACTTCTCAGCCATGGGTTCCGAGCGTGTCCCTTTTTTCCCCTCTCTCTTGTTCCCTCTAACCGGCTTTTTCTTGTTTGTTTTTGAGACAGGGTCTCACTGTGCAGCCCAAGCTGGTTTAGAACTCACTGCTTTGCCCAAGATGGTTTAGATATTCGCAGAGATCAGTCTGATGCACCAAGTCCTCCCTGACCTTTTTAGTTTGTATTCTGTGCGAGAAGCCTGCTATGGACGTTGGGCTACCAGATAGGGTTTCCGTGGTGCGGAGGTGAAACCTCCATGTTAACCCACAAACACTGAAACGAAGCACTGGAGCCTGCTCTGGGAAAAGCCATCTTTGAGAAGTTAGTGGCCCCATAGATTCAGATTTTGTCCTCAGCCTCCTCAAGTGTGGATGGTGCCCTCCCTGAGCTGTTGGTCCTGGGTTCTATAAGAAAACAGACTGAGTAAGTCATGAAGAACAAGTCAGTAAGCAGCACCCTCCATGGCCTCTGCATCAGCTCCTGCATCCAGGTTCCTGTGAATGCTCACAAGCATAAGATTAAACGTTGTAAACAAAATAAGAAAGATGGGCTATTGTCCCATTTTGCAGTTGGTTGGGCCCTCCCCCATCAATCACTAAGAAAATGTCCTACAGCTGGATCTTATGGCGGCATCTTCTCAACCGAGATTCCCCCCTTCCATATAACTCTAGCACAGTGGTTCTCAACCTGTGGGTCATGATCTCTGGGGGTGGTGGTGGGGGTAAAATGATATCAGATATCCTGCATGTCAAATGTTTGCATTACGATTCATAACCGTAGCAAGATTACAGTTATGAAGTAGCAATGAAATAATGTTATGGCTGGGGTCACCATGTCATGAGGAGCTGCATTAAAGGGTGGCGGCGTTAGGAGTTGGCATAACACTAGCTGGCATAGTGGTTCTCATGTTTAACCTTTATCTTCACCGTTCTCTCAGAATCCCTTGAGGTCTCACTCTTGATGCCCTAAGTCTTTCCCAGAGGAGGCAGCAAGTGTAAGGGGACGGTCAGTTGCTGTCACAGAAGATAAGAGGGCTCTCAGGCCAGACTGATGGCTAGTCAAATGCTGGGCCACCTCCCTGGGCAAGTCACTTATCCTCTGAAGTTGCCGGGCAGAAGCACTCAGTCTTAAAATGCCATTTCTTTTGAATCGCCACTACCCCCTCTCCCCCAGACAGGGTTTTCTGTGTAGCCCTTGCTGTCCTGGAATTTGCTCTGTACATCAGGCTGGCCTCAAACTCACAGATATCCATCCGAATACTGACATTAAAGGCATGTGCCATGTTTAAAGCCTCCTCTCTCTAGGGCTTTTGGGGAGGCCAACATAATCTCTAATGAATTTAGGTCACCAGAGGCAAATCCAGGAATTCTGAGAGCCCTGCTGACAAGTGGGAGACACAGGGATGGGTGGGGCCTGCAGGGAACGGGGTGAAGGTCTTCCTCTGAGACACTCAGCTCTAACCCACCACTTTTATGCTGGGTGCAGCCTGACACTTGTCAGTGCCCCTCTACCCCAGTTTTCCCAAAGACTCACCAGGCCTGAATTGTCAAGTAAAAGTTTACAGGAATTTAAACAGTAGGCATGTCTGTGGGCCAGGTTGTAATCTCAGAGAAACTGATCTTGGAGCTCTTGTGGGGAAAGGGAGGGAATATGATCAAAATATGTTGAGCAGAAAATCTAAAATGTAACAACAAAACCCAAAACCACTTGGTGGGGAGCAGCAGCGCTGGCTGTGTGGACACCAGGGGGGGCTGTAGCTCCTCCTCAGGAGAGGCTTCCATGTTTTCTTTCTGCTCACTGGACCACTGGCAATGGAGGTGTCCCTGAAGATTACTGAAGATTCCTTGTGCCCTGCAGTGTCTGAAGACTTGTCTGGGGCTTGGACATCCCAGCATGAATTGCTCAAGAGTGTGATGTCAGTCAGGCACGGTGGCTTTTAATCCCAGCACTTGAGAGGCAGAGACAGGTCAGAGTTTGAGACTAGCCTGGTCTACCGAGAGGGTTCCATGGCTACACAGAGAAACCCTAGCTATAAGAAACAAAAGCAAGCTAACAAAAACAAGTGCATTGTCTTTATTTTTGAGCTAGGATCTCACTGGGTGGCTCCGACTGGCCTTGAACTCACAGAGGTGGGCCCGCCTCTGCCTCCCAAGTGTGTTTTGGGTAGTTTCATTTATGATCCAGCTTTGGAAGCCACGTGTTGTCACCCATGCTGTGGGTGTGATGTGGGAGGTTTCCCTGTAAGACTCATCAGGGCCATCTTGGAGCCTCTGACTGTATACCTTGGCCCCTTCCCTCTTCAGGCCCAGCAGCCATTCTGCCCAGTGGTCAAGTCTCCTTGATCCAGGCCGGGAGCTTCTGCAGGGTTGGGATTTATCTGAGTGCACAGGAAACTGTCACCACCTCCCGAGCTGTGCATGAGTCTTTCCCTGCCAAACGACTTTTGGTTTTTCGAGACAGGGTTTCTCTCTGGCTTTGGAGGCTGTCCTGGAACTCGCTCTGTAGACCAGGCTGGCCTCGAACTCAGAGATCCGCCTGCCTCTGCCTCCCGAGTGCTGGGATTAAAGACGTGCACCACCAACGCCCGGCCACCAAACGACTTTTAAACAGCCAGAAAAGCCTAAGGATGCAGCCCTGTTGGTGTGGAGACTGGCTCAGGTGTTCAGTACGTTCTCAGCCTTACCTGAGAGACGACTAGTGTGATCTTCCCCTCCTGCTTGGGCATGGTAAATCGGGGTGCAGCGAGGCCCTAGAGGAGCCACCCCCGTAAACTCCTGCTTCTTATGCCCTCTTTCACCTGCCTGAGGCGGCGTGGGTGCTACTGGGCAGAGGGGCTGCAGCCCTCTGTGTCCCTTTGATTCATCCAGAGTCCCAAAAGCTCTGTGGGTGGAAGCTCTGTGTTGTCATAGTAACAGGAGCCGTGGAAATGAAGATTGGCGCCCGCTGGCCAAGGAAGCCAAGCTTTTAATGCATGTATCTCTTTCAGGGACAGTTTTCCTGGGAGGGCTTTGGCCAGATGGCAAAGGGTTTATTTCAGGAGCCAAGGAAATGGTCTTTAATTACTAGAGAATATGCTCGGCTCTAATCAGAGAGGTTGGTGGCATTTGGGAGTTCTTTAGGGGGACCAGGTGTGAGTTGAGTGCCTGGGCAACCTTTGCCACTTACACTAACAACTTTGGGCTGTGAAGACAGTTCCGGAGGTAAAGCAGTTGCCACAAAAGCATGGGCACTCATTGAGAATGTGTGTTGACCCAGGTGCCCGCAACCTCAGCACACCTGCGTTGAGACAGGAGGCTCTCCCAAAGCTCACGGACCAGCTAGACTGGAGTGCACTGCAGTGCGTTGAGTTAGAGACCCCGCCTCAAACAAGCTGGAAGCTGAGGAACTGACAGGTTTGTTCACTGACCTCCACATGTGCTCCCTCCCTGAGCTGGCTCCATCACATAAGAGTCATCTGAGAGGAGGAAACCCCCAGTGAGAAAATGCCTCCATAAGATCCATTGTGGGACAGGCATTGGTGGTACACAGCTTTAATCCCAGCACTGGGGAGGCAGCACTGGTGGATCTCTGTGAGTTCGAGGCCAGCCTGGTCTACAGAGCTAGTTCCAGGACTGCCTTCAAAACAATACAGAGAAATCCTGTCTCGAAAAACCAAAAAAAAAAAAAAATCCCTTGTGGGTCAGGCCATCCCTGGACTGGTGACCCTGGGTTCTCTAAGAATGCAGGCTGAGCAATCCAAAAGGAGCAAGCCGTTGAGCAGCACCCCTCCATGGCCTCTGCATCAGTTCCTGCCACCAGGTTCCCACCCTATGTGAGTTCTGAATGAACCCTAATGAGATGCCAGTCTTTGCTTGGGGCTGGTTTCTAAAGAACCCAGCCCAAGACACCACAGGGCCCCGGAGACGACTGTGTGACTCTGTTTTATTTGTTTTTGTTTTTGTTTTTTGTTTTTGTTTTACGAGACAGGGTTTCTCTGTTTTGGAGGCTGTCGGTCCAGCCTGGCCTCGAACTCACAGAGATCCGCCTGCCTCTGCCTTGTTTTTTTTTTTTTTAATCTGACAGATCTATGGTTCTGGTCTGGGGGGTCATGTTAATTTTAGGTGTCAATTTGAATAGGCAGGCATGTCTAGATAGCCTTGGACACATTCCATATAGTGAGGATGACTTTGAACTTCTTGTCCTTCTACTAATACCTCCTGGGTGCTGGGTTGTAGATGGATGCCACCATGCCCAGTTTATGCGGGGCCAGGGATTGTACACATGGTGTCACGCATGCTCTGCAAACACCGTACCACAGTGCCGCCTTCTCTATTTCCCCACCCCCACTCTGTCTCTGTCTCTCTGTTCTGTTTCTTTAGGGTGACAACAAATACATTGGATGTACAATACGAAGGTGACACAGACCTGCCCTGCGGTGCTAGAGAATAAGGCTGACATTTGATAAGTGATCAGGAAGATGATGATGATGATCCTGAGAGGGAAGCATCCAGGGCACCAAGACATAATCACAAATGATGACCAGTTTTCTACTGGCTGGCTGATGGGTGGTGGTGACGGGGGAGAAGGTCCAGGAAGAGGGGGTTTATGCCGGCACTTACTGCGGGGAGAGGAGGTGAGGAAGCCAGGCGGGGAGGAAGCCG